TTCCGAGGAGGAGATTTCATCGGGGAGTCGCTTTCCACGTCCGGGGACGGCGACTTGGCGCGTCGCAGCCGTTTTCGGTTTGGGCCATCACTACCTCCGCCCTCCTCAGAATCCGAGAGCACAGCGATTCGGCCCGGGGCCCTGCGCTTGCGAGGCAGCGAATCAGACGCGCCTTCAGCTTCTGAATCGGAGTCTTGGGGTGTCGGCGACTTGACGCGTCGTGCCTTCTTCCGAGGTGCAAGCATCACTTCTTCCTCATCTGAGAGGGCCTTGAGTCGCCGACGGGGTTTGCGATCTACCGCTTCAAGATCCTCAGCTTCGCTCAGGTCGGATTCTTGCATCGGGACGATTGGCGGTTGCTTCGCGACCCGACGCGCCCGTTTTTTCGGTGGAGGGCTTTCCGGTGTGGGTTCCACCTCTGCGGCTGCGTCCGCGCCTGTGCGTTTTCGTTTCGTGCGGGGCATGGTTGTGATATTGAGGGAGAATCCAGAAGGATGTTATATGTACTTGTTGTGGGGTCTAATTATTTCAAATCGAGCCTAAACTTAAATAAGAACCGTTTTTGATCCCGACCCGCAGGAAAGCTTTCTATAAATAACAGACAGGGAAATAGTACAGCAAAAGAGAACTAAGTACACATGGACCCGAGACCAAACTCCAACAGGTTGGGGAGCCGGAGGTGAAATTAATGGTCGGCGTTGCGTCGAAAACCAAACACCGACAGATTGGGGAGCCGGAGGCGAAATTAGTGGTTTGGGACGAGTGGGGACGTCGGGGGCCTTGCCACATCAGCGGCGAATGCCTGAGAGTCGAGAGGGCGAGTCTGAATCCGGCGGGCGGCGAGGGAAGACGTCGAAGACAAGTAAGTAGAGCCTGAGAAAGGAATCGTTTAAATATTTGAGACGGTACGGAAGGGAGAAAAAACGCACCACGAAACCCTAGACCAGTCCAAATCCAGTCCGAAAGAAAGCAAAACAAGACACTCCTCGGGTAGAAGTGCGTCCACCCCCGTGGCCGGCGTCTTGCTGAGCTTGGTGACAACTACGTACCGTGGCGTGCGGGAGCTAGAGGCGTCCCTCCAGAACCCGCACCTTGGCCATCACGTCGTAATCCTTCCGAATGGTGGAGACGGGGAGGTGTCAGGCGGGTCGCGGAAGTGGGTGTCGTCGTCGTCGTCTGTCGCACGCCAGCGAGGCAAGGACGCGTTTAGGACAGCGGGGCGACCGGTATCGAGGGGGAAGCCTGGATCCGAGTCTATCCGTCTTGCACGAAGTCCATCCATCTCGCGCGTGGCGGTGCCGGCCGGAACCGTCGTCGCCTTGAGTCTCGACCCTTTGGCACTTGCGAATAGCTGTCCGCCAGCGAGGCAAGTGCGGGGCGAGGACAGCGGGGCGACTGGTTGTCGAGGTATCCCTGGAGCCAGTCTATCCGTCTTCACACAACACATCCATCTCGCAGGATGACGCTAGCCAACGCGTAACGCGACTTAACGGGGACGGCGCTGAGAGGCAAAACCTGGCGCGATTGAGGGCGGCGCCGGGTGGGAGGAGGGTGACGCGGCGGGAGGGAGAGTCGGGCTGATGTGAGAGCCGTCATGGAGGGGGTAACGCGGCGGGAGGGTGAGTCGGGCTGGTGGGAGAGCCGTCGTGGAGGGTGTTTCACGGCGGGAGGGAGGGTTGGGGTTAGGGGGCTATTTTTTGAGCGGACAATGGTCGTCCTTTGGTGTCTAGAGGACCATGTAAGTAATGAGCAGGCGGCGGCCAGAGCGGGGACGCGTACTTTATGGTGTTTCGGGTGACGGCGGCCTCTCCCATGTGCATGCAGAGCATGTTGACGGCAGCACTAGAACGGCGGTCAGCTTCAACGTTGCGGTGGACGGTGTAGAGCGTGCTGCTTACTGGGAGGCCTAGAATCAGACGAAGGAAAGCGAGTGTGGGGGCCCAGTGGGCAATATGAGAGAAGGTGGCGGCAAGAAGCAGAGGAGAATGAAGACTAACTGGAGGGGGGCACTCAATTTATGCGCCTCCCAGCGGGTGTCAGCCACCGGTCAGGAAACGGTTGTGGTTGGCTGCAACTTTAAAATATGGAGAATAACGTCATGCGCATGACGGTACCACCGTTTAACCGATGCAGCTAAGAAGGCTTGCCATGATGCCACGATGATAACAGAAACCTCGTGTTCACTCTTCAGGGCACTCAAGAACATCCCAATGCATTGTAGCAAATATCTGGTCTGGTACTAGTAGGGCGCGCAAAGACTTGAGACCCGCGAATCGACCAGGTGGAACGCATCGTAAGAAAAAACAGCCCAAAACAAGCCAGGGCGCTACAATTGCGTTGTAAACTTGGGGTCAATGAAAGACTTCTGCTAGTCCGGAAGCTTGCAACCCAACTTGGTCCACTTGGGTTTGGTCCATGAATCGTCTGCCGCACTTCGTTCCTGATGCGTTTCGAGGCGATGGCTGGGGAGAAGACGCGCCAAGTGTACAAATTCCATCACGGATTGACGACAGGAAGGAAGGGAGAGGTGTTAAAGAGGCCGGAGGATTGAAGCGATAATGCGGGTACCGGCCAAGGGCGCATGTGCCCGATATCTTTGTCGAAGAAAGCAAAAAGGCCGAGGCCGGCTTGAAATCTTGAGTGGTCGCTACTACCGAGGGGCGACCGTTTTCCCTCCGCCTCTCTAGCGCTTCCTTGGCTCTATCCCAAGGCCCCAACCAACCGCAGATGAACGCGTCTCCAAGTTGTTCTGAAGCAGTCGGTGATGGAGGACAAAGAGAGGAGCGCAATCAGCAGGTTATTTGCCAGTAGCGTGAGCACCAAACAACCTCCTCCGTCCAAAAATGGCGATTCCAATTATAGAATGCAGCACTCAGCACTGAAATGAGGCTAATGTACCCAAGTTTTCCTCAATAAATTGCGCATGCCACTTATATACGAAGTATTCCGCAGCCGTACGTGGGGTGAAGTGATGTCCATCAACCGACCAGGAGCTGGTCTTCATCAAATCCGACTTGGCACAGTTGTTCCCACAACTGTTTGGCGGAAGAGAAGTCATTCAAGAGCTTCACAGAGGTCAGCCCCAAAAGCAACAGGACAGTTCACAGAACTTGCTTCGGTTATCAATCCATCAAGTCTGTTGAGAAGAGCTTCCAGGTCGCTGTGAAGCGCGGTGTCTTTCTCACATAAAGCCGCACTCTCGTCTGTGACGCGCGCGCAGACTCTGTACAAATAGTGGCGCGTTTTGTGGCTGTAACACAATCAGTAAGAGTGGGACAGCGTAATAAAAAGAACGAACTAGGCGACGGCCCGGAAACGACACCTCGCTCCGACGAAGAGCTTAAAATTGGGTTGATAAGGCCTCTTGAGAGCTTGGGCATGATTCTCGAAAAACGTCTCCGTCTTGTATTCGATCCCCACCTCCGGCTTATCCTAAGTATGCAAATATTATCATGAATCGAAGGATACCTTGAAGGTGTCGGCATTGCGGTTGTAGGTTCCCGGCTCAGTAGATATAGAGTATCTACCACCCCAGTCGCACGACTCATTCCCTCGGGTCCAGCAAGCCTGGCAACCGTATTCTTCATCATCGTGATAGTCGTCCTCTCCCTTGCGAGGCTTGCGAGGGAACGGGACGGGAGTCACAAATTCTGTGTTGAGACTTGGGCGAAGGTCCAAAGTAGCTACGAACGGCGGGTTCCAGGTCTGTAGGCATATCGAGTTCGCGTAACCATTGAGGTGTTGACGTAAGGCCGTTAATGCCGTCCGGTACGGCAGCTCTGAAAAAAATTGAGTTACACCATGGCTAAGTGGAAAAAAAAAATACACACCATGGTCTTTCGCCGCTTTGGAGGAAAATTTGGGATCATAGCGGAGTCGGACGATATATTCAACAAATACGGCGAGTTGCTGCTCGATAGTGCGGCGCGCATAGCGATCGGAGCCGAGGGCAGCTTCAACGGCCAGAGCTGTCTCAGCAGTCTCGTCGTTATCGTCCAATAAGGCCGGGTCTGAACTGTCCAAATCCTCTTTGATAGGCACACTGGATTCGCTGCTATCCGAATCGCTATGCTCTCCTGAAGGCTCCATCGCCGCTGAAGAGGACTCCGCTTCATCGACGTTCTTCCGTGCAGATGTGGGCGAAGACTTGGTGTTACGTGTTTTCTTGTACTTTTGCAAAGATTGTAAATAGAGCTCCTTCGCAGTCGGCTTCGACGGGGTCGGGGGAGTCGGAACTGTGGGCAGTGTAAGTGGACCACACACGTATCGTGTAGCGAGACATACATACGCTCGAGATCATCCACATCTTCCGAGTCTGCGTCCGGATTGAGGCCATCTCCCGTGGGCACCTTGAGATCCGGCTTCTCAGAATCCTTCATGCGACGAAGCCTCGACGGCGGGGTGTCTTCGGGTCCTCAGCAGTCTCAGCTACATCGGAATCATATGCCCCCTGGGGCAACTTCCGCCGTCTGCGGGGCGAAATCACCGCCGAGTCAGACTCGTCCTCGTCTTTGCGATGAAGCCACGACGATTTAGGCGTCAGATTCTCCGGGTTCCCAGTATCCTCGGAATCAGAGGCCGCCAGTGGTGGCAACTTCCGCCGCCTACCAGACGAAATCACCCCCGACGCAGACTCGTCGTCCTCGGATTCCTGCGCCACGGGTGAACCCTCAAATTTGAACCGTTTAGCGCCCCGTCTCGAGTTGCGTTGTGAGGCAACTTGAGTGGTCTGGGGGAGGTTGTCCGAATCCGACTCGACCTTCATATCATCCGAGTCCGGCTCCTTCTTGACGAGGGGGGGAGACCGTATGTTCGCCGAGGGACCAGCGACTGCGTTCCACTTGCGCTTCGGGGGCATGGGGGATCGCAGAGAAAAGGAAATCCATTTCCAAGTGCGATTTGAATTCAATCGATCGGAATTCTCGATTTGGAAATATACAAATTTCCAACCAGACCCAGTTTCCTCAGGTCATATCACCCTCACAGACAAACGTTTCGACTCCCTCTTAGCTCAGTTGGTAGAGCGCGTCACTAGTATGCGTACGGGAATGTATGTCCATGTAATGACGAGGTCAGTCGTTCAAATCGGCTAGCGGGAATTTTTTTTGTCTTTTTTTCAGCCACCTCAAACTTAAACTCCCTTCTCAACTGGTTTCCCCTCTGCAATTTCCCCTTTGCAACATGCTGGTAACGCTCAATGCAACAGCTGTCTACACCGCTAACGCGGACGGATCAACCATAACAGCAACTCGAATCGACGCCTTCCAACAGCGTTCAACTGAATTGACGCTTCGTATCGCGGCTGCGGAGCGTGGTCCAGTCAAGGCTTCGCGACCGACATGAAGGGGTGCCAGCGGGTCCTCCCCTCTGCCGCAGTAGCCAAAAGCGCGCACTGCGCACCGGCTACATGTATGTACGTCCAACCCGCACTTCGCGGACTCGATTTCGGCCGTTGGTGTACTCGATTCCATCGCCACTGGCACGAGCTGCTGCGTATCAAGTATGGGCTATACTGTAGGTGCGCCTGTCTTCGCCCTCATCCCGGAGAAGAATTTATTGTAGTAAACGGCCAAACACCATTGGATTCTGTAAGATGACGGATGGCAGCGCCGGTCGGAACTTCGTCAAGACACGACGCATACTATCTGCAATAGAAGCCTCCTCCGCTCACTTTAACATCAGGCTATGCCTGGCCTCAGCTAGAGGTGTTCTGCTCCACAAGCAACTGTCTGGATCCGGCTCCACTGCCCGACGTTCCCTTCTTCAACATTCGATGGAAGATGGAAGATATCTTGACATACCTTCCGGCGACTACGATCATCATCGATATCCTTCGCTCCGGACCCTTCATTCCTATTTCACTTGCAAAATCCCTGACCCGCTGACGGGATCTCGTCATGGGGCGCTGGATCTACACTAGAGTCTCCGCGCCTTCAGGCTTCAAATTCAATGCGAAACTGGCACATGGCGTGCGCTACTAGCAATTCGACCCCGAAGCGGCATACGGCCCGAAGGCGCAGCTTCTCTTGCATTTAAGCTCCTCACAGCTCCTCACTGCACAGGTATGGAACACTCGGAGCGCTGTTCCGCGCCGGCAATCTACGCATCCACCCACTCACACTTGAGTAGCTCTCACACTTCGCCGTTTTCTTCTGCACTTCATCCGAGTCCCTGGCAGCGCCCTCAACAAAAGTCTACCTTCGAATTCTCCCCGTCGGCGAACGGCCAATAAATGAACACAGAAAATCTTGGCAGCGCCCCCGTTCCTGGCGCTCGTGTGCCCGATTCGAAACGTCGATCGTGATCGCCGACGCGATCGAGGGCGCGGATCCGCGACCTTCCCTTGTTGGTCGTGTGCCTTTGTATTCGCTTTCGGCGACGGTGGTTGAGTGCTGAGAGTCTGAGACGCGGCTACTGTATGTGTACGCCAATTAGACGCTGAGAATATATGCTTCCCCATTGAACCCCAATATTAGGGTGTCAGATGGGCTATCGCCCGACGCGACGTGCCAAGCGGTGGCGGGAGGGACATTCATTTCTGCTAATTTCAAATAATGTTAGGATGGGTCGGATAAGCTTGTGTGGAGGTCAGGGGTCAGGGCGTGGTCGTAACGTATTAACTTCTGCCTTCAATCCTTCAACTTGAATTGCAAATTCCAACCCTCACACCCTCAAATTGAATCCCATTTTTGCTCTTTCTGACCCGGACTCGAACTCGGGCTCGGAGCGGAGACACGCGTCGCGGGCGGGGTGGCACGGACATGGACACGGGACACAGGTTAGACGCGGAGACCTGACTCCCAAAAACTAATGCTGATGGCCGCCTCCGCATCCGCATAATGATATGGGCGCTGAGTCTAGACCGTCTAAGCACATTGAATTCAGCGGGAGCGAATCAGTGAATTAATTTCGGCGGGTACACACATGTTCAGGGACGCAGTAAGTAACGTTCGTTCCTGAAACTCTATCATAAATATGAGCACGATTCGAGGTGAAAGGGAGCCGACCCTGAACGTCCGTGGCTCGTGGTTCAACGCGCCTCTGAAAAAAAAACAGGCGTATGACGATCACCTAATCAATTGTTCATCATATCATCGGGATAGGGCGTATGCGTAAAGGTTAGTTCAATAGCCGAATCTCCATTGTTCAAAAATCACAAAGTTAAATCATCTCGTTACGTACTGCATAACCCACGCCCGCCGCCTACTAAGTACTTACTGTGGGTCCAGAATCCAGAATCCAAATCCAGGTCGAACTCGCCTTTGTGTAATTCTACCTACCTATCTACCTACCTACACCGTCCATTGACACGACTCGGTCTAGAACCGAAATTCAGGGTGAACACAAGGAAAAGTCGTCTCCTTCCCCGAGTCCACACCTGCACCTATAAGCAAGCTAGCGCAAAAAGCCGCGATGAACGTTCCTCCGAGTACTTGTAGTTACGTAAGGGTATATCGGCGCCACCCCGAGACAGCCCGAGACGCCCTTCAGTATAAGTACGATTCAGATACCCGAAATTAAATTCCGTCAACTTGAACCTCGAGCCACGTTCCGAGTCGCCGCTTAGACTGTGGGTCCCGATCGAAGCCTCTCCGAGTCGGATTAAATTAGAGGATGTGAGGGAATGCGAGGTTAGGGTTGATTCCACCTTCGCAGTGAGTAGTTCGAATTCGGATGATTCAGCGAGCCGGATCGGGCACACGACGCCGCACGCCGCTTTTAGCATTAATTTTAGAATTCGGATTCGGATGCCCGTGTATCAATGGTTTCTCCGATTCGGTGACATATCAGACGTCGGGTGGGAAGATAGATGTGTAAGGGCGACGAGGCACGTTCGCCGGGTACAGTGCGCTGCACGGTTTTGTGTAGACGCCGGGGCTCGCCGGGATTTATCAGGGTGGGATTCGCTTGATTCGAAAGACGACGAAGCGCATTAGGATTCTGAATAGAATAAGAAACACAGCCGGGGGAGAGTCGGAGGCGGGGGATTTCAACCCAAGAAAGCGAATAACTCGGGATGTGTTCCGCCGGGAACGCAACAAAACCAACGTCAGAAACAACCTTCGAGTGATCCCGACGCGCTGTACATAAGTAGAATCACTGGTCAGGATATATTCCGCCGGGAACGCAACAAAACCAACGTCAAAAACCAAACTGCGGCTGATCCCGACGCGCCGTACATAAGTAGAATCACTGATCAACACCTCCGCAGAAAGAGGCCGTAAGTCTTGATTTCTCCGAACCTTCCACTCTCCAATCGGCCGTAATGATATCCGAGTAGCGATATCAAGTAATAGGATAGGTGCATCAAGAGATTCCGACGCACATATCAAGCACGCCATTAATCATTACTCCGCGGTCCAGCTACGTGTCCGGAGCTGGTTGGAGGTTGAGGTTGAAGGTTGGGGTTATCAACTCAGATCAGAGCGTACGCCGGGGCGAGGGGGTATCATATCATATCATATCATATCGCAGTGTCACCTTCGATAGGCAGGTATTAAATATACTCGCTGTCGCTATCGCACAGATAGGATAGGCGGGGCACCCACCCACGTTCGCTGCGCCACCGCAGGGTGCCGACGCTTCTTCGTTCTCGGAGGAGTAAACGTGGTTGCGGGTACGGTTGCGCGCACGAACAAAAAACAAAAAGAGGTGTGGTTGTGGGTCCCGGCTGTTAATTAATTATCAATTGAGCGTCTTGGTGCGCGCCCGGGGTTCGACTTTCTTTGTCTGGAAAGGGTTGAGTGAGTAAGCTGATTGATACCCACCTCGTTTGGCGTGATTCGTGAATCTTGATTTCCGCTGCCGGCCTTGATTCCTCCGAAAAACGATTTCTTCCCGCCGGCTTGATTTCGCCGACAGACGAAAGAAATTGACGCAGTCCCGCCCCACCCCGAGCCCATGGCCAAATACGCCGCGTCGCGATATCGAGGAACCCATCGAGCAGCCCGGGCGCTATTTTGCCGGTGCGAGTTGATGTAGAGAGACACGTAGGAGGCTGGAGAATCGAGTGTATGCATCAAGGGTTCAAGAACGTTTGCACCGAGCAGGGCGCTCGAGGGATGCCGGACTCCAAGAAATTGCGGGGACGGTTGTTCGAGCGAAGAATTGAACGAGCAAAAAGCGAGAAGCGGCTGTGGTTGTGGGTCCGGCTCTTACTTAATTATCAATGCGCGTCTTGGGCGCACGTTCTGTGAGAGTCCTAGAGTCCTAGAGCGGTTGAGTAAGCCGATTGATACCCACCTCGACCGCACCTTTGCATGTCGTGAATCTAAATTGATTTCCGCTACCGGCGTCTTGATCCCTCCGAACAACGATTTCCTCCCGCTGGCTTGATTTTGCCGACCGACCGACGAAAGAGGGAAGGAAATTGCCGCGGGCATTGAGGAACCGGGCGCTATTTTGCCGGTGCGCGCAAGTCTAAGAGGATGTATGCATCAAGGGTTCAACAAGCGCAGAGGGCTCGGGGATGCCGGACTCGGACTCGAGGCGCTTCTGAATCGAATTCGGGACACCGCGCATTAGATTACAATAATATTGAGTCCAGTTCTGCAGCGATCGATGCCCAATGACGCACCCTGGAGCCCAGAACAGCCGAGATTAATAGCTGCTAGGAGAGTGGAATGGAAGAGGGCGGAAGGGGATTCAATATTCAGAGGTCGTCATAGAGAATGGAGGATGACAGACGGAGGGAGGGAGGGAAGTTGGAAGGTAGGCGCCGATCGCCGCGTCGCCAGAGTAGAATAGATTGGAATGGAACATAGAACGCAGGTGGAGCCGAGGACGGATGAATGGAAGAGAGACCCCAGATGACGCGGACGAGGCCAACCTAGCTAGAATAGAGTCATCGCAAATCGCACCCCTCCCGTGCGTGGCCATCCCGGCTACCTTGCACCTTACACCCTACAGACACAACGCCAAGTGCAGCGAGACCGCGGACGCGCCACAGGCAATCTCCGTCGCAGCCCGCTTCGCTTCCTCTTCCCCTTCCGCTTCCATGCCCGCCGTCGCGGTTATCAGCCCCGGGTAAGGTAAGTATAGCAGGAGGGTAAGTATAGCACGACCTAAGGGAAGGGTGATGTGGGGATGGGATCGATGGATGTGCGTTGATATGATAGAGATGATGGGAGAAAGTGGGGTGAGTCATAGATAATGAGGAGGTATATATAGAGGGAAGAGAGTTGGCCGGGGCGTACGACTGCTAAGGGGAGGAGGGGGACGAACGTTTGCGTGGTGGCGGGCTCGAGGCGAGAGGCGAGAAGTATGTGAATGAGGACGGGGATACCTCGGGTGAGGGATGGGGATGAAGGGAGAGACAGAGGAGGCCGCGCGCCTGGTCCGCCGCCGGGCTCGAGGCTCGAGGCGGCAAGTATGCGAATGGGGGGACGGGGATACCTCCGGGGGTGAGAGGAGATGCATGGGATGGGGATGAACGGAGAGAGAGAGGAGGACGCGCGTCTGGTCCGAGTCCGCCGCGTAATTCGCTTCACGCGCGGGACGCGTAACGGGCGCGCCGTCGGCGGCAGCCATCCCGACGGATTGCTTCCCGCACTCGAGTAATCTTTTCGCAGTCAGCGTAGGACGCCGACGCGACGCGCACGTTCGCTGGGCGTGGGAGGTTGCCATTGACTCCTGACACGCCGCGCGTTTCGGTCTCGGGCTCGGTGTCTAGACTCCGTGTGCCGTACGCAAGGGATAGGCGCCAGGGGATACGTAGGCGGCCCATGGCCCACGGGAGAGGTAGCCGGGAGATGCCGTGGGCGGGGGCCGCGGTGGGAAGCCCGCATACTGGATGTAGGAGGGAAGGGATGGAAGGAAGGGAAGGTGAACGAGGCTCTAACGGAATGGGAATTAAGAACGCGTTAGGACGGACGACGGGGAACCGGGGGTCGGTATGTTTAGAGTTGAGATTGGATTGATTGAGAACGGACGGAAGCAGATTTTGACTTGCTGCGGAGTGAGTGGAGTCGGAGGCAGACTAGGGTTGGACCGCATAGGGTTGGACCGCAGACAGGGGTACACAGGAACGTTGAAGGAATACGTATTCATGTACGTACGTACGTACTAATACCCACTATGGTCGATAACGCGGATTACAGATTTAGTGAAAGACCGGTAACGAAATAATTCTGAATGCCAAGAACGAGACACCCGACACCGCGTGCAGTGAATCTGATGTTGTCTCAGTGAGTGAATTGATGGAGTGCTGCTGTTTTTTGGTTTGACCATGTCGACGCTGCTGGCCCCGCCGCCGCATTCGATCCTCTTGCCGTCCCAGCCGTCGACCAACAGCCTCTCGTCGTCGGCGAGTGCGTCGACCAGTGCTTCTTCCAGCTCCGCGTCATCGAGCACGTCGTCACATACGAGTGCGAGCCACGCCAACACACCCACAATGCAGAAACCCCCCACCAGTGCCCGCCGCATCCGCTTTGCACCGCTGCCCGACCCCCGCCGCGACTCCCTCGACGACGACCGGCCAGCTGACTTCGCCCCAGTCGTCCCACCGCCGGCCAGTCCGCTGCCCAGCCCGCTGCCGTCGCCCGCGCCCTCGCCCTACGTCTCCCCCGTAACATCCAGCGTCCCTCTACCAGCAACCAACACCCCACCCTCCGCATTCCACCCCCCGGCCAACAAGGCGTCTACCTGGCCCAAGCCCCGCAGCCTCCTCCACCCCTTCCGCCGCGGCATCACCCCCGCCTCCTCCACCGACAGCCTCACTCCTACCCCCTCTCTCGCTTTCACCCCCTCCTCCCCCACCGCCTCCTTCCACTCGGCCGCGCCGCCGCCGCCACACGACGAGCCCAAGTGGGGCGCCGCCCTCACGCGCTGGGGCTCCTCCGCCAGCTCAACCTTCGGCTCCCCCCTCGCCCGCACACAGAGCAGCACCAGCGCCCGCGGCCGCTCCCTCCTCCCCTCGGCGTTTGGCCTCTCCTCGAAAGACCCCGCGCCCAAGCCAAAGCCAAAGCCGGCCAGCAAGAACAAGAGCACGAGCGTCCCGCCCGCGCTCAACCCCTTTGCCAACGCCTCGCTCGGCGCACTCGGCGGGAAGCGCGGGACGCGCATGCTTAATGGCCGGGTGTATGGTTCCCGGAATGCGAATGGTGAGTTTCTATCTTTCTCCATCTCTTTGTGTTTCGACTTGGCTTTTTTCCTGTTTGCACTCCCCTCCCCTTCGTGTGCAGCTTGCATCCATGCATTCATGCCTGCACGCAGGCACGCCTTCATCTCCGTGCATTCTATTCCTATTCCTATGCATATCACGCCCCACGCTTCTCCTTCTCGCCTCGCCTCCTTCTGGCCTTCGCGCGGGCTCCGAGGCGAATACCCAGACGCAGAGATGAGGCCACCGAGGGGCAGGGACGGGGTCGCCGAGGTGCAGACCGAGTCCGAGTTGGCCTGGATTCGGAGAGCGAGTCCTACCCCTTCAGCGATGCGCACCTCGGCGATGCATGCTGGCCCGCGGAGCGTATTTCTCCGCGCTAGTGCTTCGGGTGCGCTGTTGCGATGCCTTCTGATGCTAGTGCTATTCACGGCGGACGCGGGGGCGGGATACACGACGTCCTTTATTCCTTTCACTCGTTTCTTTCTTTCTACCCTCCGCCTTCCTTCTTCCTCCTCTACCTCCTTCGCCCAACGACGAAATACTCACCCTCACCTCTTCACAGGCACACACAACCCGTTCGGCAACGCGCGCGACGACGAGCCCGAGTTTGTGGAGTGGGGGTACGGCGGGATGGGCTCCGTGCGCAACGGGCACGCCGCGTGGGGGCGCGTGCAGGGTGGCGGGGGGCCCAAGGTCAACGGCGCCGCGGCAAGCACCGGCACCGCCAGCACCAACGAAACGAGCGCGAATGGAAATGGGAACGGGAAGGCGCACGCGCCGGCGGTGGGGATGGGCGTCGTGGCGAGCGGGGGGGCGGACGAGGACGAGGACGATGGGACTGGGATGGGGTGGGTGAGGCGGAGGAGGGAGGCGCGGGAGAGGGAGAAGAGGGAGAGGGAGGAGAGGGAGGCTAAGGAGAAGGAGGGGGCGGGTGACGCGAACAAGGAGATGGAGATGGAGAAGGAGAAGGAGGAGGGGGATGGGGGTGGGGGGACGGGTGGGGAGGATGGGGGCGGTGCGGCGGGCGGAGAGGCGGGTGGGGAGAGCGATGCGAGTACGCCCACCGCGACGGATCCGGGGGCGGGAGCGACGTCCCCATCACCGGCTGCGTCCCCCTCCCTCGCGCCGCTCCCCGCCCCGCCGCTCTCCGCCTCCCCGCTCGGCTCGCCCGCCCTGCCCTCCCCGCCACTCGCCACGCCCGGCTCGCACGCGGCGGAGGAGGAGCACGTCCTGCGCGCCGTCACCCTCCCCGCGCACTTCCGCGGGCACCACCACCACCACCACCGGAGCAGCTCGAACGCGCTCGCGCATGCCGCTGCGGGTGCGGGGGCGAGTGCGAGCCCGCCGGCTGTCGAGCGGACGCGCTCAGGATCGAGGTCCCCGGGCTCGTCGAGCTCGGACTCGGAGTCGGATTCCGAGTCCGATGAGGAGGGTGGGGAGGGGGGGCAGAAGATGAAGAAGGGGGCGGTGGTGGCGCGGCACGAGGAGCGGGGCGCGGCGGAGGCGCGGGGGCATGGGGGAGATCAGGATGAGGAGGACGAGGAGGAGGACGACGACGATGAGGACGATGAGGAGGAGGACGAGGCGGAGGAGAGGCGGCGGGTTACGGCGCTGGGGGCGGGGGTGGAGAAGATTAGTCGGCATAAGGAGTAGGGGGGACTTGGATTTGGAGTTGGGGTGGGGGTGGGGGTGGGGGCGCGCCCAAGGTGTTGTGGATGCGGAGACTCCCGTTCGTCGCCCCCCACCGCCCGCCCGCCCCGCCCGCCCCTGCTATCCGATACCCCCGCTCGCTCGCCCGTCCGTCCGCTGTTATTATTATTCGCCCTCCGACTCGGGGTCCCCGCTCACCCGACCCGACCCGTCTGCCGGATGGTGCGCCCTGTTGGACATGGACCGCCGCAGCCAGCCCGCGAGTGGACGCCCACCCCTATATTAAAACGCCAGCGCCGCGCGCCCCCCTCGTCTCCCGCCCACCTCGCCTCTGGCCCCCACCTCGCCCCCGCCGCCCGCCCGCAAAGACAAAGATACCGCCCCGCCCGATATACCGATACCATAACCACATACATACCACGCCCCGTTCCGTTCAACAAGCACCCCCCGTCAGTCCGCACCAGTCCGTCCGTCCGTCAGTCCGCAGTTCGCCAGCCGAGTCCAAGTCCGAGTCCAGTCCAGTCCTAGTCAAGGAAGCAAGTAGTGTACGCGCTTTTAGTCTCCGTGCGTCCCCCCCCTCTCCTGCTCTTCGTGAGATTGCGAAGCTGATTATAATGGGAAGCGCAGATACATCCATACAATACATATATCCTCCGTTTTATTTTTCTCGTCTCTTCTATCTTCTGGGTTCTGTGTTTGATGCTTGGGTTGAGTTTTTGATTTTGAGTTTGAGTTTTGAGTTTTGGTTCGATGTATGTACACTACACACTACAGTATACACTACTGGATTTTCCTTTTTTTTGAGTACCGTAACCGAGTAACAAGACCCAAGCACTAGCCCTTAGACCCCCCGTTTTTTCGGTGTACATACATACACACATGCATAGGTGTGGTTGCTGCGTATTATTTTGAGAGGCAGATACAGCAGAGGGGATTATTACTACGTATACAGAGGGGCGGAGAGAATATATTCTTGTACATACGTGTCAGGTGCGGTGAGTGGGATGGAGAGGGGGAGGAGAGGTGCGAAAGATGGCCAAGGCATGAAGAAGGACAGGGTATGGGTGTAGGAGCCTAAAAAAACAAATTTAAAAAAACCTGCAATTCTTGTGGAACATTCCCGCTAGCCGATTTGAACGACTGACCTCGTCATTTCGTGAAACTTTAAAAGCTGATACTAGTGACGCGCTCTACCAACTGAGCTAAGAGGGAGTGGGAATTGGTTGGCAAGAGGGTGATAGGAGATAAGTAAGCATAAAGGCCTAATTTATATACGATATTTTGCAGTCAATATGTTTCGTCACTGCGTTCAACCGGATCTCCCATTCTTTCGCGAACTGCATACTGGGACACGGGAAAACCATCCAACAAAATGTTATCTGGAAACAGTTCTGTTCCGAGTTAGTCAAGTAAATGGCTGCAATCAGGGCGCTACGGGTTGCACAAACAATTCGAAGCTGCGTAAGTAGCGTCCCAGGCAACACCCGCATTCTCAGCAACATCTAAACAAGCGTCGCTGCGATCTGAATCGTACAGCCTCCACCACTCTCAGGTAATGTCCAACTTCATCGAACGTCTCTTCTTTCATGGGCCCTCCCCGGCGTCGGACCTCCCCACCGAGCTCCTGTTAGAAATCTTCCTCTTATGCAGACCCGACAACCTCCAGTGCCGCCTCGACGACAAGTCAAAACACCTCGAAACGCAATTCCCCGTTCTCTACGTTAACAGCCACTGGCGCGCCGCCGCGCTCTCATCCCTCCCACCGACAACCCTCCAGCTGTACCTGTCAAGTCCACAGCGACCCCGCCGTACGCATGCGCACCGACACGTTGATTATGTCGCGGCTGCGCAAGTACCTCGAGTCGGACGGGGCGCTCCCCTTGAGCTTCCATGTGCACTACTACAGCTCGCGGTCCTATGAACTTCCCCTTCCCCTCGAGATCTTGATGCTTCTATGCGCACATTCCGCGCGCTGGGAACACATATCGCTGCATCTGAGCCCCAGCATGTACAGCACCGTCGCCCGCGTCATGCAGGGCCCGTTTCCGCGGCTGAAGTCGGCCGAGCTCTGCGAGACGGACGTGAGCTTCGCGCCCAGGTCGCCACCGGCCCCGTCATTCCTCGACGCGCCGCAGCTGTTCACGCTGCATATCGGCTTCATGGCGCAGCACAGCGCGAACGTGTCCATCCCCTGGGCGCAGCTCACCTGTATAACACTCTCCTGGGCGAACGCACCCATCTTCCACCGCGTCCTGTCAGATTGCCCGAACCTGAGAGAATGCACATTGAAGGAGTTCAACAAGAGCTCGACTTCCTGGACACCCCCGCCTGGGCCGCCGCTTACGCACTTGGCGCTGCGGACTCTGTGGTTCAAGAGCGCGAGTCTTAGCGACTTCCTCCCCCTCGTGCATGCGCCGAACGTGGACGAGGTGCACTCGGACAGCGCGATATACAAGCTCGCGGACGCGGACGCGCTGTCGACCCTCCCAGCGCTGCAAAAGCTGCATCTGCGGTTCATGTTCTTTAACACGAGGCAGGCGGCGGAGTACCTCCCTATTCTGCGCGTCGCGGAGCTCGAGCTGGAGCTGCTCGGGGACATGCCCGAAGGGGCGTTGCGGGCGTTGGAGGAGAACGCCAGCCTAGAGCGCTTGCGGCTCAAGTTCGAGAAGACGGCGGACGAGGTTGCGTTGGTCGAGATGGCCGAGCGGCGGAAGGGATTGGCGCTCCGTGTCGAGGCGCTGCTTTCGCCCGAAACTAGAGAGAGTTTGTGGACGCTGCTTGACAACGGAAGGGAGATATCTGGGCTTGCTCGATGTGCAATGTTGGCGGAGGACTTTGCTCAGTCTCAGCGAGGTGTGTTGGAACGGACGGTGTTACAGGGAATGAAGCTGTATGACAAGGTCGTGAACGGAAAGTAGTAGTCATGCACGACCTTCTCTGCCCAAATGTTACCAGAAGTGTTCATCCAGTCGCTACGAGTTGAAAGTGGGAACGGCGAAACGTGTCGCGCGAACGACTTTTGAAAAATCTGGGCTGTTACATAGTCTCAACTGAAAGCGACGTTGAACCCCAATATGTTTTTTTTACCGGACGCGAAACGAGTCCAAACCAGGTCTCAAGATGATAATTTGAAAAGAGTTCACATATAGGAAACCGTACCGAAACGCGCGGCGTGTTAATGACGATGGTAACCTCCCACGCCCAGCGAACGTGCACGGCCCCGGCGGCGCGTCGGCGTCCTACGCTGACTGCGAAAAGATTACTTGAGTGCGGGAAGCAATCCGGCGGGACTGACTGCCGCCGACGGCGCGTCCATGATCGCGTCCCGGGCGTGAAGCGAATTACGCGGCGGACTCGGAGCCAGACGCGCGTCCTCCTCTCTCTCTCCCTTCATCCCCATCCCATCCCATCCCATCCCTCCACTTACTCCGGGGATACCCCTCCTAGCATTCACATACTTGCCTCGAGCCCGCCACCGCAAACGTTCGTCCCCCTGCTCCTCCCCTTAGTAGTCGTACGCCCCGGCCAACACCCTCTTCTCTATATATACAGCTCCTCATTATCTATGACTCACCCCCCCCACTTCTCCCATCATCTCTATCATATCAACGCATCCATCGATCCCTTCCCTTCTCTCCCGTTATATTTAATTCACCCCCCGTTCTCCCTGCAGTGCTATACTTACCAGTTACCTTACCCGGGGCTGATAACCGCGACGGCGAGCATGGAAGGGGAAGCGAAGCGGGCTGGACGGAGATTGCCTGTGGCGCGTCCGTGGATCGAGGCGTGTACTTGACATTGTGTGTGTAGGGTAGGGGGGACGGGATGGCCATGTACGGGATGGGTGCGACCCTGCGCTTCCTCTATTCCCAGAATCAGAGTCTCCGTGTCTAGGTTGCTCTGGTGTCTGCGTTCTGGTCTCCCTTCCATTCATCCGTCCTCGGCTCCACCTCCGTCCTATGTTCCATTCCAATCTATTCTACTCTGGCGACGCGATACAACGCGATACGCTGCGATCGTTCCCTCCGTCTGTCATTCTCTATTCTCCATAGCGACCTTTGGAGTCTGGATCCCCTTTCGCTCTCTTCCATTCTCCTCGCAGCTACATATTAATCTCGTACTCAGGCTGTCTGTTCTGGTCTGGGCTCCCAGGATGCGTCATTGCGTATCGATCGCTGCAGAACTGGACTCAATATTATTGTAATCTACGGTGTCCCGAATTCGATTCAGAAGCGCCTCGAGTCCGGCATCCCCCGCGCGCCCCGCCCTGCTCGATGTAAACGTTCTTGAACCCTTGATGCATACGCTCGATTCATCCATGGCTCTGCGTCTCCATCCTCCTGCGCGTCTTTCAATTCGCCGGGACTGGCAAAATAACGCCCGCGGGTTCCTCGTGCGGGGTATCTGGCCTTGGCGCGGGACTGCGTCAATTTCCTTCCTTCTTTCGTCGGTCGGCGAAATCAAGCCAGCGGGAGGAAATCGTTGTTCGGAGGAATCAAGACGCCGGTAGCGGAAATCAAGGATTCACGACACGCACCCCAAACGAACGAGGTGGCTATCAGCTTACTCACTCAACCCTTTTCCAACCAAACTCGACGTCGACCGTGGCAAGCTATCCCGGGCGCGCGCAACCAAGCCGCGCAATCGATAATTAATATAATCGGGACCCAACCAAATCGCTCTCCTCTCTTTTTGTTTTTTGTTCGTTCGTTCGTTCGAGCAACCACACCCGCACCCACATCCATATCCTTCCCGCGTCCTCTCAACATGCTCTGCGCGCACCGGCAAAATAGAAAATAACGCCCGGGCTGCTCAATGGGTTCCTCGAGATCGCGACGCGGCGTATTTGTGCGCGGGGCGGGAATATTGCGTCAATTTCTGTCGTCCTTCTACGTGTCGGCGAAATCAAGCCAGCGGGAGGAAATCGTTTTTCGGAGGAATCAAGGCCGGTAGCAGAAATCAGGATTCACGACACGCAAAGTTGTAAACGAGGTGGGTATCAATCGGTTTATGCACTCACTCAACCGCTCTAGGACTCGCGCAGTGCGCGCGAACGTGCACCCAAGATTGAAGGCGCTCAATTAATCGATAGCCGGACCTATAACCACAACGCGCTTCTCTCTTTTTGTCCGTTCAATTCTTCGTTCGAGCAACCGTACCCCGCAACCGCAGTGACTCATCCGAGAACCAAGCGGCACCCTGCGGTGGCGCAGCGAACGTGGGTGGGTGCCCGCCTATCCTATCTGTGCGATAGCGACAGCGAGTATATTTAATACCTGCCTATCGAAGGTGACACTGCGATATGATATGATACACCCCCTCGCCCCGGCGTACATACGCTCTGATCTGAGTTGATACCCCCAACCTCAACCACCAACCTCCAACCAGCTCCGGACACGTAGCTGGACCGCGGAGTAATGATTAATGGCGTGCTTGATATGTCTGCCTCGCGTCGGAATCCCTTGATGCACCTATACTATGTACTCGGATATCAGGACGGCCGATTGGAGGGCGGATGCGGAAGGTTACGAAGGTAGGGTTCGGTTTCAGAGAAATCAAGACTTGAAGCTTACGGCCTCTCCCTGCGGAGGTGTTGATCAGTGATTCTACTTATGTACGGCGCGTCGGGATCAGCCGCAGGTTGGTTTTTGACGTTGGTTTTGTTGCGTTCCCGACGGAATACATCTCGGGTAACATGGCACTTCTTGCGAGGTTGAAATCTCCGCCTCCGACTCTCCCCCGGGTGTGTTTCTTATTATATTCAGAATCCTAATGCGCTGAGTCGTCCTTCGAATCAAGTGAATCCCACCCTGAGAAACCCCGGCGAGTCCCGGCGTCTACACAAACCGTGCAGCGCAGCACTATACCCGGCGAACGTACCTCGTCTCCCTTACGCATCTATCTTCCCACCCGACGTCTGATATGACACCAATCGGAGAAACCGTTGATATACGGGCATCCACCTGAATCCGAATTCTAAAATTATGTAATGCTAAAACCGGCATGCGGCGTCGTGTGCCCGATCCGGCTCGCTGCATCATCCGAATTCGAACTACTCACTGCGAAGGCAGAATCAACCCTAACCTCGCATTCTCTCACATCCTCTATTTACAGTATCCGACTCGGAGAGAGGCTTCGATCGGGACCCACAGTCTAAGCGGCGACTCGGAACGTGGTTCAACCGTTCAAGTTGACGGAATTTAATTTCGGGTATCTGAGTCGTACTTATACTGAAGGGCGTCTCGGGCTGTCTCGGGGTGGCGCCGATATCCCCTTACGTAACTACAAGTACTCGGAGGAACGTTCATCGGCTTTTTGCGCTAGCTTATAAGTGCAGGTGCGGACTCGGGGAAGGAGATGACTTTTCCTTGCGGGGGTGTTCACCCTGAATTTCGGTTCTAGACCGAGTCGTGTCACTGAACGGTGGAGGTAGGTAGGCAGGTAGGTATGTAGGTAGAATTACACAAAAGGCGAGTTCGACCTGGATTTGTTGGATTCTGGATTCCGGACCCATAGTAAGTACTTAGTAGGCGGCGGGCGTGGGTTATACAGTACGTAACGAGATGATTTACAGTAATGTGATTTTTGAACAATGGAGATTCGGCTATTGAACTAACCTTTACGCATACGCCCCGTCCCGATGATACTGATGAACAATTGGTTGGGTGATCGTTCGTGCGCCTGTGTTTTTTTCAGAGGCGCGTTGAACCACGAGCCATGGGCGTTCAGGGTCGGCTCCCTTTCCTCGAACTCTGATTTCGTGCTCACATTTATGATAGAGATTCAGGAACGAACGTTGAGTACCGCGTCCCTGAGCATGTGTGTACCCGCCGACATTAATTAACTGATTCGCTCCCGCTGAATTCAATGTGCTTAGACGGTCTAGACTCAGCGCCCATATCATTATGCGGATGCGGAGGCGGCCATCAGCATTAGCGTTTGGGTGGGTCCGACTCAAACAGGTCTCCGCGTCTAACCTGTGTCCCGTGTCCATGTCCGTGCCACCCCGCCCGCGACGCGCGTCTCCACTCCGAGCCCGAGTTCGAGCAGACATGGGATTCAATTTCAGGGTGTGGCGGTTGGAACTTGCATTTGCAATTGAAGTCAGAAGTGTTAACACACGTCCTGGCCCCTGACCTCCACAAATGCTTATCTGACCCATCCTAACATAATTAAAATCAGCAGAAATGAATGTCCCTCCCGCCACCGCTTGGCACGTCGCGCCGGGCCACCGCCCATCTGACACCCTAATATTGCGGTTCAATGGGGTAGCATATATTCTCAGCGTCTAACTGGCATATACATACAGTAGCCGCGTCTCACTCGACCACCGTCGCCGAAAGCGAATACAAAGGCACACGACCAACAAGGGAAGGTCGCGGATCCGCGCCCTCGATCGCGTCGGCGATCACGATCGACGTCTCGAATCGGGCACACGAGCAGCGGACCGAGCGAATAGGGGCTTCGAGATTGCGGGGGATGTGCAGGGCCAGGAACGGGGGCACTGCCAAGATTTTCTGTGTTCATTTGCTGGCCGTTCGCCGACGGGGAGAATTCGAAGGTGAACTTTTGTGCTAGGCTAGGTAGGCTAGGCTCCGCTGATGCGCAGAACAAAACGGCGAAGTATGAGTGGTAGATTGCCGGCACGGAACAGCGCCCCGAGTGTTCCATACCTGTGCAGTGAGGAGCTGTGAGGAGCTTAAACGTGAGAGAAGCTGCGCCTTCGGGCCGTTTGCCGCTTCGGGGTCGAATTGCTAGTAGCGCACGCCATGTGCCAGTTCGCATTGAATTTAAAGCTTGAAGGCGCGGAGACTCTAGTGTAGATCCAGCGCCCCATGACGAGATCCCGTCGGCGGGTCGGGGATTTCGCAAGTGAAATAGGAATGAAGGGTCCGGAGCGAAGGATATCGATGATCGCAGTCGCCGGAAGGTATATCAAGATATCTTCCATCTTCCATCGAATGTTGAAGAAGGGAACGTCGGGCAGTGGAGCCGGATCCAGACAGTTACTTGGATGGAGCCGAACACTTCTAGCTGAGGCCAGGCATAGCCTGATGTTAAAGTAGAGGAGGCTTCTCTCGCAGATAGTATGCGTCAGTATGCGTCGCGTCTCGAGGAAGTTCCGTCGTCTCACAGAATCCAATCGCGTTTGGCCGTTTACTACAATAAATTCTTCTCCGGGATAAGGGCGAAGACAGGCGCACCTATAGCCCATACTCGATACGCAGCAGCTCGTGCCAGTGGCGATGGAATCGAGTATACCAACGACCGAAATCGACGTCCGCGAAGTGCGGGTTGGACGTACATACATGTAGTCGATGCGCAGTGCGCGCTTTTGGCTACTGCGGCAGAGGGGAGGACCCGCTGGCACCCCTTCATGTCAGTCGCGAAGCCTTGACTGGTCCACGCTCCGCAGCCGCGACACGAAGCGTCAATTCAGTTGAATACTGTTGGAAGGCGTCGATTCGAGTTGCTGTTATGGATGATCCGTCCGCGTTGGCGGTGTGGACAGCTGTTGCATTGAGCGTTACCAGCATGTTGCAGAGGGGAATTGCAGAGGGGAAACCAGTTGAGAAGGGAGTTTAAATTTGAGGTGGCTGCAAAAAGAGAAAAAATAAATTCCCGCTAGCCGATTTGAACGACTGACCTCGTCATTTAGTAAGGACAGATTCCTGTGCATATACTAGTGACGCGCTCTACCAACTGAGCTAAGAGGGACTCGAACGGTCTCTAGGTGTTGGGGACTTGACTGAAATTTCCATGTTTCCAAATCGAGAATTCCGATCGATCGAATTCAAATCATCGCGGCCCGGGAAACTTGGAAATGGATCTTTTCTCTGCGATCCCCCATGCCCCCGAAGCGCAAGCGGAACGTAATCGCAGGCCCGTCTACGAACACTCGGGCGCGCCGCCTAGTAAAGAAGGAACCAGACTCGGATGAGGATATGCTGAAGCCAAAAGTCGAGCCAGACTCGGACGATGTGGTCCCTAAAGTTGAAGTTTCCCCGCGACGCAACCCGCGGCGGGGCGCCAAACGGCCCAAGCTTGAGGATGATCTGGATATTGCACCCTCGGCGCAAGAAACTGAGGACGAGGACGAGTCTGAGCCGGCGCCTGCTAGGCGGCGGAAGTTGCCTCGGCGGGCGACTTCCGAGTCCGAAGGAGGTGAGGACCCAGAGACGCCTCGCCCGCCAAGGATTCATCGGAAGGGCGACTCTGAGGAAGAGGACGTCAAGGTGCCGGCGGGAGATGGCCTCGATTCGGACGCAGACTCAGCAGATGTGGATGATCTCGAGCGTATGTCGGTCTCGCGCAAGATATATGTGGCCCACTTACGCCGCCCATAGTTCCGGCCCCACCGAGCCCCTCAAAGCCGACTCCGAGAGAGTTGAAGCGACAGGCCTTCCAGAGGTACACGAAAACGCGGAACACCAAACCTTCGCCAACGTCTGCGCGGAAGAACGTCGTCGAGGCGGCGGAAAACTGTTCAGCGGCGGTAGCGTCGGAAGACGACAGTGATTCGGACGAGACGGGTACCGAATCGAGCGCGACCCAAGAGAACTTGGACAATTCAGATTCGAGCTTGATCGACGACGAGGACGAGGACCAGACTGCTGACGCGGCTCTTGAGGTTGACGCTGCTCTTGGCCCAGAACGATGCGCGCGCCGTACCATCGAGGAGCAACTCGCGGTATTCGTCGAATATGTAGTACGACTTCGCTATGAACCAAATTTGCTCTCATTGGACACCACGACGGAGAACGACAGTATGTGCATCGTATTTTGCGCGTCACCTGGCTCATCTCCAACTCAGAACTGTCGTACCGGACGGCGATAAGCAGCCCTGCGAAAACATATGGACGGTTTTGCGAATTCCATGTTACTTTCCACCTGGTCCGGGCCGTTCGCAGCTACTTTGCAACGGCGGCCCGTTCTCATTGGCCCCATATCCTGCGAGCCCACTGACTGCCAGGCTTGCTGGACGCGCGGTCCCTTCGAGTGCAGTGGCACTGGGTCATGCACCCTCTCTACGCTGAAGGGCTTTTACGACCGCGACGGCGATACCTTCCAAGTAGGTGTACATTTGCTGTGCAAGCGTGCTAATCGGGCTGATAATCTCATGTGCGCAGGAGACCGCGGAAACAAATGTCGAGTACTGCAAGGAGACGACGGAGGATTTCGAGAATAGCGCGGACGCCCCCAAGCTGCCCTATCCGCCTGGCTTCAGGCTCGTCGTCGGGGCGCGTTGTTCCCGTCGCGCTGCCGCGTAGTACGTTCACTTCCCTGTATCGTTGTCCGCACTAATGATTAGCGCAACATAGCCATCAGGCGCGGCATTATATGTACAGGATCGCCACTCGCGTCCGAGACGAGGTCGAGAGCCTTTGTGACCGAGACGCGGACCTCTCCGACGATCAAGACGCCCTTGTTGAGGCGCTTGATGGGGGATTCATACGGGAGGTGAGGCAGCTACCGGTGCTGTTGTTCACGCGATTGATGCTGCCAATGAAGCTCCAGGATGATTTTAGGGCAGATCGGAAGCATTGGGAGGACGTTCAATAAGGGTACTTGCCCGGTGGCGCCTACTCGACCAGACGAGGCGCTAGGGATTGAATTTACCAGGAACAATTGCGCTTCCGAATTGTTATTCGACGCGCTAATCAATAGGATAGTTGTGCTGCGAAGCAGCCGTTATTCAGGTCGACCGGCCAAACGTTAAATAAACTTTGATCAAGCATGTCGATGCACAACTTTGCGACCTGACAATGCGGTAGGCCAAAGAAACGGAACCCTTTGTTGCCAACCGACACGCACCAATCCACCATAGCTCAACAGCGGACGCGCCAGAATATGCTCGGTCAGAATATTCAGAGGCGGCTTCAACCACATTCTAACTTGCTCAGGCACTGCATCTGTTTCCACTGGGGTCGATGAAAAAGCCGTTCTTGCCTGCGCGCGGGCTATAATCATAGGAATCCTCGCTGAAATCGAGTCCACTGCGTCCAAGAATGTGTGTTAACCAACAGACTCGGATAATAACTCTACTGACAGCGAAAAGGCGCCTCCTGACGACGCCTCGGATGGTTATGAGGAGCATGCTGCTCACGAGGGCATTATCCCTCCTCGCTTCCGCGGCAAGCTGGTGACGCGAGGAAACGTCGACATCCGTGAACAAGGGCATCACTTTCAGCGCACCAATCCCTTTCACTTGGATGGCAAGGGAATTATCGTGCGTACGAAATCTATACAACTGCATCTATTGTTAACCATATACTTCGGCAGCAGGAGTCAGGTAATCCCTCCCCCAAATGGACAGATTCCTGTGCATTGAAAGTACCCAGCGACACCTTCAAACATGCTAGACAAACAAGAGCTCAAAAAAGGGGGGAAGGAGTCTGCTAGAAAAGGGGAGAGGGATGATTTAGTGTAGAAATGGTGATATATTACTTTACTGCTAGTGGCTATTTGTTGTTATCCAGGCAACAGCCATTTTTTACAGTTCCTTTGGGCTCAATATATGTTTCCTGCTATGTTTTATGCACATCTATGTCTGATAATTCTTTTCTAATAAAGTGTGATGCTGCTGCACCTTTGTTTTCAAGATTTTCATCGGAATTGCCACTTTGGGATTGGGAGGAGTTTGTTTGGTCCCAGCGACATCGGCCCGGCATACAAACAACTCACTCGAAAATTATGGCTCCTACCACGAACGCGTTCGGTGGATCCTGGTCCACTCTGCCAACCTCTCTCACACCATGGATGTAAAATGCCCGCTTTTCCGTCACTCGAGTCCCCTCTTACTCTCCGTTTGCAGACTGGATGTTATTCACTCCATGGGGCACACCCAAATGACCCCGGTACAGGCGTCGACCATTCCGCTATTCATGCAACACAAGGACGTTGTCGTAGGAGGCAGTCACGGGTTCCGGAAAGACCCTCGCTTTTGTCGTTCCTATACTGGAGCGCCTTATACGGCGGGAACGAAAACTACGGAAAAACGAGCTTGGAGCATTAATCATCAGCCCTACGCGGTGCGTCCGACTTCATACTCCATTAGCATCGCAGCTAACTCGTTCCAGAGAACTGGCAACCCAAATACACTCCATCTTTTCGCTGTTTCTCTCCGCTCAGCCTAGAGCTCTGCCTGTGGACCCTCAATCAGACCCGCCCGATCCGGAATATCCTGCCCCGCTGTTGCTCATTTCCTCAAATAAATCGTCCCCCGCTCAGGATGTCCAGCGGTTCACATTATCCGGTGCCGATATTGTGATTGGCACCCCGGGCCGCGTCGAGGAATTCCTGCTAGGAAAAGGCAAGACTATTGTGAGCGTCAAGGAACTGGAGGTTCTGGTCCTCGATGAGGCGGATAGGTGCGCGGCTTCCCCTGTTTCCTGTTTCTGACTTGATAACACGCGCATAGGTTGCTTGATTTGGGGTTCCAGACCGCGGTGACGCGCATTATCACACATTTGCCGAAGCAACGGCGTACGGGGCTATTCAGCGCGACTATGACGGATGCCGACGCGCTCTCTGAAGCTCGTGCGAGTGGGTCTGCGGAATCCTGCCCGAATTGTGGTCAAGGTCCAGGCGAAGAAGCTTAAATTAGGGGGAACCGCATGGCGCGGTGGTTCGGGAGACGGTGGAGGAAAGACGGATACCTGCCAAGTGAGTGGAGCTTCTCTTTACGTGGGCGCACATTAATACTCGGTGCGCCAGTCTGAAGATTCACTATATCGTCTGCAATGCGTCGGAAAAACTGGTCCAATTGACGCGAATAATCTCTTCCGAGGTCTCGGAACAGAAGTCTTCTCGATTTATCGTCTACTTTGCTACGGGCTGCCTGCGTAGACTATTTCTACCGCGTACGTGTTCCCAGCTCCCAGCTCTAACGCTATATATCTTCTCTGATCGTTATCCGCCCATTTCAGATCCTGCAAGACCTTCTTCCGCCTGAGACGGCTTTATTTTCGCTGCACGGGCATCTACCTCCATCTGCACGAACACGAACACTGGGGGCATTTTCGGACGCCCCAGCCACATCTGCTGCTCCTTCTGTCCTTCTTGCCACCGACGTGGCGGCCCGCGGACTCGATCTCCCTCTGGTGGATATTGTAATTCAGTTTGACCCTCCCTCGGACCCCAAAGCTTTCTCTCACCGTTGCGGGCGCACAGCGAGAGCTGGCCGCAGCGGAAGGGCATGGGTGTTGCTCCTCGCACGGGAAACCTCCTATGTCGGTGGGTACCCCATTCATCCCGCTGTCTTCGAAGGTTTATATTTCTGCAGACTTTCTCGCCATCAGAAAGATTCCTATCTCTGAGCGGCCATGTTTCGCTGGACCGGGCGATCAGGTCGTGGAATCTTGCGGCGTCCGCGAGAGAGGCCGTTGAGGGTGAGGAAGAACCTCTGCGCGAGGATGACGCAGAAGTCTCGGTGTTCCTCGGGCGTATACGAAAAACGATCTTGACGGATCGAGCCATACATGATCAGGTGAGCGAGCGCTCAAGACATCCATCTGGCCACAATGCCCTAACGCTCCCTATCAAGGCCGCGAAAGCATTCGTGTCGTTTGTCAGGGCGTACTCCAAACACGAAGCATCTTATATTTTTAGGGTGAAGGACCTTGATCTCGTTGGCGTGGCGAAGAGTTTTGGACTCCTCAGGCTCCCGCGTATGCCCGAATTACGAGACGTTGCTCGTGATGGCTGGGAAGACGCCG